TTCTGGCTATGTGGACAATACTCGGGTTCACTGATTATACAGGTACTTTTTCTTTCCCCAGAAACAGCTAACTTGGCTTCTGGGGCCACTCTCTCCGATGTAACCCTGAAGTCCTCACTGTGACGTTTCCTGACAGAACTCAGCCTGACATTGTCCAGATGAGTTCTGTCTCATGAACCTGTCCCTTGGCTGACCTGATCACTATCGCTCTAAAGGCCACAACATGTTCTTTTCTTAGTGATTCTGTGTTATTGGTGAAATGCATGTTTCTTGATTTTATGAAGTGTACCTTAATGAGTTAGGCTTCATAGTTGTCACCAATTTTTTAACGAATGTCACGGGCATGTAAACGCATGTGTGCGTGCGTGGACCGTGGGGGACGTGGACACCTGTCTCAGAAGCTAAGGGAAAGAGACGGGAAGTGGAGCTGGTAGGAAGGAAGCCACGCTGACCACGGAGGACCACGCACCGCAGAACCGCAGACGAACGCAGCCCCGACCAGAGTCCTCCTTGTACATCCAAGCAGAACTGGAACTCAAACTTACGGGATTAAAATGAACACGATGAATGAACAACTGTATTTCAGAGAAAGGATGGGCAAGGGGTGTGCTTGGCCATGTTCTATTCTTCTAGGTTCTCCTTGCCACCTTGGGGACATTGGTCACTGCCCTGCCCTAGTCACATTCAGCAGTTAAAAATCTAGAAAAGTCTGTTCCTTCCTCCAACCAACCAGAGGGCCGAAGAGGGTACAACCTGTGTCCCTGACCAAGCTGTGACCTGTGTCCACACTCCCCACCACCATGTGGCCTGGGTTCCGGGGGTCTCTGCTGCAAGCCCTCCTGAGCTGCGGTGCCTGCCCACGTCTCATTCCTGTCCGCCCTGTCGCCAGAGTGGGAACATGTCCCTCACAGTCCCTTATTCTGGGACAGATTTTCTCAAATGACCTTGCTCCTGTGTGGCATCTCTTCCGTCTCTCTCCGCCCCATAACTCACTGAGCTTTCTTTGCTGTCTGGAGTACCTTGGGTTTTTGGCCAATAAATAACCTGGCCCGTGCACTTCCCATCCTGTGTGGGCTGGGCGGGTCATCAGCTGTCCGGCTCCTGTCTGCTTCCTCCCTCCTCCCAGGGCCCAGTCAACAGCGCAGCACACCCCACCCCCACCGAGGAGCACACGCTGGCAGAGAAGTAATTAACACGGACATTTCTGCAAGCTGGAAATTCTCATAATTAAAACTTATTTTGCAAGATCTCAGGAGTCCAGATGACCCGAAGGGAGAAGGAGGGCTAGCGTCTTATCAGGAAATGCAATCTGTAGAAATAAATCCAGTAATACAGACCTACAATTTTAATCCAGGGCCCAATTATCAGATACAAATGTTTTTTATTAAAACAGCCTAATAAGCTTGCTGTGGTCATGAAGAGCTCTTAGTACATTCAGAAAGTCTCTAAGAGCAGCAACAACTGCAATCAGCCATGTAATCAAGAGTTAGTTCTCACGTAATCATTTCCCCAAGCTCAGCAAATACAGACCTTCACAAAGACAGTAACCATCTATTCAAGGAAGAAACAAGTACTCTGATAATACAAAGCTCAACCCCAGTGCAGAACACTAAATTAGAGCATATTAACTGACGGACAGTCGTCACCATGGTGATATGTACGAAGATTAAACCTTAGACGACCTAGCGAGTTTTCAATATCATTATCATTATCAGCAAAATAGGGAAGACAGCTTTCTAAACCCAGACAATGAGCCCGTTGTTAAATCCAACACCATCCAGATCTTTCTAGAAAACTGAAACGCGCTGACATTAGGTAGCACTTAGACTTCTGATATAATAATATGTTGAACTTTACTGACCCAGGAAAAGGACGAATAGTTCATAAATGTGACGGGTCTATTCATTTTGATAAATGCTGGCAAAATTATCCACAGGGGAGAAAAGACTTTTACCTAGTCCACATAAACACCTCGTGTATTCAGACTGAAAAATTATAGCTACTCTGCCATTTTGCCTCTGTCTCTCTTAGAACACATACACACATACAACATACACACACACATATAATATGACACAGAAACACGCTTCCCTGCCCTTCAGGGCACTAAAAACACATATTTACTGACACCGAAACCCACGAAGAGCTGCCCAGTGGCTTCTCCGAGGCAGTCAGCTTGTCCACACGAAACGCACACCTTGCGGTTCGCTACTTCCCGGAGGGAACTTCTCCCCAGTCTGACCCGTGGCTGACTTTGTCTGTTTTAAACATCGCGGACAAGTCAGTCCCTTAGCCCACGGGAGGGTCCCCATTGCTCAGGAGAGGGGTCAGCTCCACAGACTGGCTCCAGGACCTTGTTGGAAAAGGGCGAGCTCAGAGGACCGTCCCCAGCAGAAAGCGATCCTGCAGGGTGCACGATGTCATTCCACACCCTGGGCAGCTGTGCAGCTGTGACCACGTTTTAGGAGGCGCACGCCCGCCGTGTCGGCTCACGAGACCAGCCTGCGCCTCTAGGCAGACCGTCTCCTGCTGAGACAGTTGGGGGGACGTCACTGAGAACCCGCTCTGTTGCCATTCCCAGTGGCTGTGATAAGCGACGGACAGCACATCACATGGACATTACTTAGGCTCAGACCCAGAAGACAGAAACAAAAAGCAAGAGGAGGACACGCAGCTCATTAAAAACGACATATTTCAAAGAAGAGTTATTTGATGGTAATGCAGACGACTGAGGCAACCCAAGTCCTGAGATTCCACGAACTTGGGCCAAAAGAAAAAAAAAAAAAGTAATTATCACTTCACCAGATAATTAGCTTGACTCACTCATCGTCTCATTCTCCTTGCGGGAGCAGTTTACGAACAGAGGGGTGCATGGGGATAATGTTTCCCGGCTAGGTCCACAGCCATGGAAACGAAAGGAAACAGACTGAATCCCCCACCGAAGAAGAAAGAGGTGTCCCACCGAGATCACTGTCTCCATTCGCTGTCACTTTATCTACGGCGACCTGGCTTCAAGGGCTTAGTCATGACCCCCACCTTCGTATCAGCTGGGTTCTGCTGTGATAACAATGATGGCAGCCGCCTCTGATGGGAAGCTGGCTACTCCCGGGAGCACGACCTGTCTGCGCTCATTCACGCATCCAGCTAACATCTAATGAACATCCGCCGTGTGACAGAACTGTTCCAGGTTTCGGGGTACGATCTGAATAACACAAAGCTCCTACTGTCCCAGAACTTTCTTCCCAACAAGAGGAGAAGGAAAACAGAAGACGGAATAGAGGCTGCATCCGCGGGTGACCAGGGCTGTGAAGAAGAAAGTGGGCGGAGGGAGCGGGAGGGTGACTCTGTAAGTACGCCATCCTCGCAAGACCACCAGGAACACACTTGGGGCTCAGGAACACACCAGGCTTACCGACTCATTTGCAACAAGGGAAGACACACACCGTTGGGAAGAGGGTGTTAAGGAAATTATTGTAAGAATTGGGCTATTCGATGATTTGGGGAAGGGTTCAAAAAAGCAGGATTTTGCTCTGAATCAAATGCTGTCAGGATAAGAGAGTAATTCTGTGACTGGGCATCTCAGTGACTCTTGTCTAGAAGTAAGGTGTCCCTCCTGGCAGCCCGAGGGGGAGATGTGGCCATGTGTGTGGTTTGGACCACCTTTTTTCTATCTTGCACTTGTCCCGATCCATCATGGTCAGAGTGCCCGTCAGATGTTGTTCTGTGGAACAGCTCACGTCGGACAGGAGAGCACCACAGCTCAGGGAATGCCAGGCCGGCTCCCAGCCTTCAGGGCTGCTTCTCTGCTTCCTGTGCTCCGTCCTCATTCTACCTTCCAAGACAGGTACTGCTATCATGTCCCTTTGACAGATGAGAAACTCAGCCCAGAGAGGTAAAAGCCTTACCCTAGAGCAGGCAACGAAGAAAGCCAGGGTTCAAAGTAGGTTATCTGATTAAACCTATATCATTTTATTATCCAATGTCACCCCAATGAATTCAATTTTTAAAAAAAAACAATAAAGTAGCCCTGGCCGGTTTGGCTCAGCAGTTAGAGCGTCGGCCTGCAGTCCAGAGAGACCCAGGTTCGGTTCCCGCTAAGGGCATGTACCTCGGTTGCAGTTTGTCCCCGGCCCTGGTTGGTCGTGCAGATGGCAGCCACTAGATGTGTCCCTTTCACGTCAATGTTTTTTTTCTCTCTCTCCCTCCTGCTCTGTCTGAATAAAAAATGGGAAAATGTCCTCGGGTGAGGATAAAAAAAAAAATAGTGGCCCTGGACAGTTTGCTCAGTGGTTAGAGCATCAGCCTGTGTACCAAAGGGTCACAGGTTCAATTCCTGGTCAAGAGTATGTGCCTGGACTACAAGGTCCATCCCTGGCCCCCAGTGGGCATGTGCAGGAGGCAACCAATTGATGTGTCTCTCTCGCATAGATGTTTCTCTCTCCTCGCTCTCCCTCCCTCCCTTCCTTCCACTCTCTCTAAAAAATTAAAAATCGATGGAAAAAATATCCCTGGGTGAGGATTAACCAAAAAAAAAGTTATCTTCAAACAGTCGGGGGTGATTTCAGTGGGAGAGTGGACACAAAGCCTGCAGGGGAAATTGCTGCTACCAGAAGACACCTCGACACCTAGGCCAGAGTTTCTGCACCTGCTCAAGAAATGAGTCCACCTGGTCAATGTCGAGGTGACGGTATTCTTCTCCCAGGGATGCGGAAACACACTCCATTTTATTTAAATCGGAAGGTTCCTTTTTCAATAATCTCCTCAAAAACCAATGTATGTCAGCAACTTATGAACGACAACCAAAGTTTGTGGGTTTTTTTTGGTACGTGCCCCTAGAGGGAACCGAACCCGGGACTCTCTGGTCCGCAGGCCGATGGCTGAGCCAAACCAGCCAGGACAACCACCAAAGTTTTAAGTACCGGGACAAGTAGGTTAAAACAGCATAGAGGTGCTGCCCGGCCTGGAAAGGAGACAGCAGGAGGCGGCGCGGTCGGGCTTACCAGCAGGTTCTCCGGCTTGAGGTCCCGGTGGACGATGCTCTTGTCGTGCATGTGGACGAGAGCCTTGCACAGGTCCGTGAGCATGCGGGCCGCGTCCCGCTCTGGGAACTTCACGTGCTCTATGATGGCATCGAACAGGTCCCCGCCCTGCACGTACTCCATGATCAGGTAGATTTCCGAGTCCGTTTCGTACACTTCGTGCAGCTTCACGATGTTGGGATGAGAAAGGCTCTGGATGATTAAGATCTCACTGTCAACCATGTCCTCCTTGCCCTTGAGCTTGGACTTGGCGATGACCTTCATGGCGTAGGCCTGCCGGGTCTCCCGGTGCCAGCACTCCTTCACGATGGCGAAGTTCCCGTCCCCGATGACCCGGCCGGTGTCGTACCGCTTCTCCACGCTGGCTGAGATGATGCCGGCGGGCCGCCGCTTCCCGCCGCCAGGCTTCTCTGGCTTGCTTTCCCCGGTCCTCATCTTGGGCTCCTTTTCCACCCTGGTGGGCTGGTCCTCTCTGGGAAGCATCTTTCTCCCACCGGATGCACATGGCCTCTTCTCCTTCTCTGCCTCCAGCTCTTCCCCGCGGGCCCTGGGCAGCTTCTCCGAGTCGGCCGGGTTCTCCCTGGGGAACCAGCCCCCAGCCTTGCTCCTGGGGTCTTTCTTCCCGTCCCTCGGCCCCTCCTCTCTGACGGGCTGAGCTTCCATGACGTCCTTCTTAGTCTTAGCTGCTCCTTGTGGCTGACCTTCCTGACCTGCGGGGTCTCTGTCCTCTTTCTTGTCCGTGCCCTTGCTGGGTCTCTTCAGCTCCTGAGCGGGGTTCCTGGGACTGCTCCGAAGGCCATCACCCTTGCCCCCTTCCTCCCCAGCCGGAGGGTGGGCCTCGGGGGACCTCCTGCAGCTCCTGGTCCTCGCCAGCTTCTCCCTGTCGTACCGCTGGCACGTGCCCATGTGCAGCTCGCGGGTCCCCAGGGACAGCGGCTCCCTCTGCAGGCCCTCCCGGAGCTCCCTCTCCCTCTGACACTTCTCACACCTGATCAGGTCCCCTGAGGTCCTCTCGGTCGCCACCCCCAGGTGCTTGTCTCCGCTGGCATGCCTCTCGAACGCGGCTTCCCCGGGCAGCCGGCTACCGGGCTCGGGCTCCCGCTTCCCCCTCACCCACGTCTGGCCCCTCACCCTGTCCTCCTGCGCCGGCTCCACAGGGGCCTTCCCCTGACGTCCGAGGGCTGCCTGGGACCCAGCAGCCTCACTGCAGGTCTTGGCCATCTCGGTGTCCCCACAGTGGTGGCCCCCTTTCGGAGCCTTGCTGTAAAGCCTGCTTCTCAGCCTCGGAGAAGGGACCCTGTTGTGCTGGGTCAGCGTCAGGGCCCGGGCTTTGGTGGGGTACAGTTCTTCCATGGCCACCTGAATGTTCTTCAAGGTCAACGGCTCCTTGCCCGTGGCTATGAAAGCGTCCCCTTCCCGGAAGAAGTCAGAGACACTCCGGACTTCCCTGCCCTTGAGGTTGAAGAGTTTCCTCACGCGGTCGTTCTTCCACCTGGGGAAGCCCAAGGCCTCCGAGATGTCCGCTAAGAGCTGCTCGAAGGTCTGCACCGAGCGCCGATTGAGGAGCAGGGTGATCTTCCGCAGGGGGTGCGCCCCCGGCTTCACCACGGTCACCACCCTGGGCTTCAGGACACCGCTGTCAGCATGGGCGCAGTGGAGGCCGTTCCGGGGGCTGAGCTCGGGCACCGCGGCGCCGCAGGGGCCCGGGAACGGTCTCTCCAGGTGTCCTCGGCCAGCGGGCAGCCAGGCGCCCTGCAGCTTCCGCTCCATGATTCTCGAGCTGAGATACTTCAGTGGATGGTCACACAGGCCGCGATGTCCTGCAAGAGGGAAATGACAGTGCGGTGTTAGTCAACGTGAGTTCAAAGAGCCCTCTGGCCTGCAGCACAACTCTACCGAAGGTGACTGATTCCGTTAGCGTTTATAAGGGTGATCTTTGAGGATCTGCTTGAAGGGATGGAGCCCTTACACTTCAGGCCTAACCCAGTCCCCTCTGTGAGAGACCATGGCGAGAATGCAGTCTGTGCTGGGCCTGAGGGGGCCCCCCTAGGCCTCCCAGGGACCCCCAGGCTGGGCCACACATCAGGAGCCCATTCTAGCAAAGCCTGGCCCCGAGAACCCAGCGCCTCCTGCCCTAAAGTGAGGTGGCCTTCAAGAATCTACAACTGAGATCAAAGGCCCAGGGTTTGCTGCCCAGGAAATACCAACGAGAGGTCAGAACACTCTGGAACTTTAAAGAACCCTCATCTCATCCACCTCAGGTTTTCTCAGCCTGACGTTCGCCCCACTCCAGGCGAGGCAATCTGTGACGAGGTCATGGTCCCAGCGTGTGAGACGGGCCTGGCTTGGCATCCTGGCGCGGCCGCCGACTTCTCGTGTGAACCTGGCACAGTGCTCACACCTGCCTTTTCGTCTATGAAGTAGGGGGGCTAACACTCTCCCCCCGGGGCTTTTGTGAAGAGCAAATGAGAAAACAGTTACAATGTGCTTAGGGCACCTGACACCCCGGCACAGTAATCGCCAGTTACCAATCCTGTCCGCACGACCTTAACGCCCTCTTGCAGGAGCGTTTCATTCTGGTGGTGGTGCGCCCTGTTGATGCGGTAGAACCGCACCGTGCACAGCCTCACCTGGCCTCTCAGCCCTCGCTGAGAACGTGACACGGTGGGCACTTCAAGCTCTGACCGAGATGTTCTTACCCTGGGTTTTTTTTTTTAAAGTTGAAGCTTTCAGTCTACTTCTAGAAACTTCCTTCTCTAAAAGGTTTTTTCTCTCATTATTAAAAAAAGGAAAAGATACCCAGACAGTATGGCTCGGTGGCTGAACGTTGTCCCACGCACCAAGAGGTCACCAATCCGATTCCTGGTCAGGGCACATGCCCGGGTTCGATCCCCAGCAGGGGGCGTGCAGGAGGCAGCCGATCGATGTCTCTCTCATCGATGTTTCTACCTCACTCTCCCTCTCCCTTCTTTCTCCCTAAAAATCAATAAAAACACATTTTTTTAAAAAGGAAGGAAAGGAATCAAGGCCACCTTAACACTCAGAGCTTTAGCACTGAGAATGTGTTCATTCTCACTGCATTTCCAGATAAACCGAGTGAGTAAAACAAGACCTTGTGTTTCCTGATCAACTGTGTTCAGCCAGAATAAAGTAGATGAAGCAAAAAGCAGTTCAGTTGCCATTTCTGTCCGGGTCACGAAAGGAGATAAGAAAATGACAGGACGTGCGGATCCGTTTGCCCATGAGGCTGGGCTGCGAGTTATTAAAGTTGCCCCACGAGATCCATGTCACGTCCTACGTGTAGGAGTCTGCCTTCTAGGCTTCCTTTAAAAAGAAGTTGCAAGTAACTTTTTAAGTGCATTTGAAAAACTACAGCTGTGCCGGGATGGGCAATTTGGCCAAGCGTATTAATCCAGAATGTTGAGTTTTCTGTTTGTTTGCTTTGTTGTTTTGTTTTGTTAATTTTTAAATATGTTTTTATTGATTTTTTTTTTTAGAGAGAGAGGAAGGGAGAGGTGACCGGTGGTGGCTCCGATCTTCCCACATGCCATGAGTTACGAGCTTAGCAATCACGTCTTCGTGAAACTATTTAGGAACGTCTGTGATTCCTTTTCTTCTCCTGCTCTCTGTGATCTGCCTCCATTTTTGCCGGAGAGAGTGGATGCCGAGACCGAGGGCCACAGGAGTAACACTGCCGGCTTCCTCCCGGAAGAACTGAAGGTGACCTTCAAGTGCAAGTGTACGAAGAAACAATGTTCTCTTTTGTCATTCCTAACGTGCTCCTTAGAGTGAAACCCTCAATACATGCTTGTCAGGCTAAGGAAACTGAAAAGAAATCTCTAGTCCAGGGAAGGGAGAGGAGAGAGGATTTTCCAGGGAGAACCAGGAAGACGAGAGAGTGCTCAGAGAGAGTGTGGCGTGGAAGGGGGATCGGGAAGGTCCCAGAGGAAGGTCCGGGAAGGGATGTTAGGGAGGCCAAGGGCAATACTCGGTGAACAGGACAGGCACTCTGGGGGCTCGCACGTTGAGTGGTGACCTAGGAGGACAGAGAGGCAAACATGATGAGACCACTGGCCGCCAGGTCCCACACAGTGAAACTGTGGAGTTTGGGTGTGACGGCCGATGACTGGGCCCACGGAGCCAGAGTCACGGCCCAAAGGAAAATGCCCCCTGGGGTGGCTGAGTGCAGCCAGTGTCAGCAGACCCAACCTCACAACCAGCCCTGATTCCTGCCGGTTAGAGGAACAATCTGGGAACACCCCTTCCCTGACCCAGGAGAGGCTCTACAAGCCTGGCCCCCATCTCAGGGCACAGACACAAAGGATGTGAAGATGGAGCGGCTCGGCCTCCGCCACACCACCATCAGGCACACTCACCACCATCAGGCAGGCTCAGCACCATCAGGCACACTCACCACCATCAGGCACACTCACCACCATCAGGCAGGCTCAGCGCCATCAGGCACACTCACCACCATCAGGCAGGCTCACCGCCATCAGGCACACTCACCGCCATCAGGCACACTCACCGCCATCAGGCAGGCTCAGCACCATCAGGCACACTCACCACCATCAGGCAGGCTCAGCACCATCAGGCAGGCTCAGCACCATCAGGCACACTCACCACCATCAGGCACACTCACCACCATCAGGCACACTCACCACCATCAGGCACACTCACCACCATCAGGCAGGCTCACCGCCATCAGGCACACTCACCGCCATCAGGCACACTCACCGCCATCAGGCAGGCTCAGCACCATCAGGCACACTCACCACCATCAGGCAGGCTCAGCACCATCAGGCACACTCACCACCATCAGGCAGACTCAGCACCATCAAGCAGGCTCAGCACCATCAGGCAGGCTCAGCACCATCAGGCACACTCACCACCATCAGGCAGACTCAGCACCATCAAGCAGGCTCAGCACCATCAGGCAGGCTCAGCACCATCAGGCACACTCACCACCATCAGGCAGGCTCAGCACCATCAGGCAGGCTCAGCACCATCAGGCACGCTCACCACCATCAGGCACGCTCACCACCATCAGGCACACTCACCACCGTCAGGCAGGCTCAGCACCATCAGGCAGGCTCAGCACCATCAGGCAGGCTCAGCACCATCAGGCCCGCTCAGCACCATCAGGCAGGCTCAGCACCATCAGGCACACTCACCACCATCAGGCAGGCTCAGCACCATCAAGCACACTCACCGCCATCAGGCACACTCACCACCATCAGGCACACTCACCACCATCAGGCACACTCACCGCCATCAGGCACACTCACCACCATCAGGCAGGCTCAGCACCATCAGGCACACTCACCACCATCAGGCAGGCTCACCACCATCAGGCAGGCTCAGCACCATCAGGCACGCTCACCACCATCAGGCACACTCACCACCATCAGGCACACTCATCACCATCAGGCAGGCTCACCGCCATCAGGCGGGCTCAGCTCCATCAGGCACACTCACCACCATCAGGCACACTCACCACCATCAGGCAGGCTCACCGCCATCAGGCGGGCTCAGCGCCGTCAGGCGGGCTCAGCACCATCAGGCACGCTCAGCGCCATCAGGCAGGCCCAGCACCATCAGGCAGGCTTAGCACCGTCAGGCGGGCTCAGCACCATCAGGCAGGCTCAGCACCATCAGGCAGGCTCAGTGCCGTCAGGCGGGCTCAGCACCATCAGGCACACTCAGCGCCATCAGGCAGGCAGAGCACCATCAGGCAGGCTTAGCACCGTCAGGCAAGCTCAGCACCGTCAGGCGGGCTCAGCACCTTCAGGCGGGCTCAGCGCCATCAGGCAGGCTCGGTCCACTGCCCAGGCACTCACAAACTCATTCAACACCTCTGCGGTCTGGGGCCAGAGTGAGAACTCAGACCTCCACCTCCCCAACATAACTGGCTTCTGTCTGCTTCAAACCACTTGGGAGTGCTGGGGTAAAAACCTCAAGATGCAAATATTTTTTGTTTGTTTGTTTGTTTTATCCTCACCCAAAGACATTTGTTTGTATGTTTGTTTTGCATTTATCTTCAGGTAGAGTAGGAGGGAGAGAGGGGGGAAGAGAGAGAGAGAGAGAAACATCGATGTGAGAGAGACACATCAACTGGTCGCCACCCACACAACCCCAACCAGGGCTGGGGACAAACTGCAACCTCAGTACATGCCCTAAGCAGGACCCAAACCTGGGACACTCTGGTCCGAGGGCCGACGCTGTAACCACTGAGCCAAACCAGCCAGGGCAAGATGCAAATATTGTTATCTCTCTTCCACAAGCCCTCCTCCCCCTTACCGCCACACACACACACACACACACACACCTTTAAATTCTTAGTCTAGAGCAAAGTTTTCTTCTTTAAAGGTAAGAGAATAAAATCAGGAGACTGAATACCTGGTGCTTGGTCAAGGAGAGCAAACATGAGAGAGAGAAGGAACATTTACACCCACGGGGCCCTGGGCTCGTCTCCAGGAACAGCCTTGTCTCCCGAGGTCCACAGCACCCCGAGTGCCATTAGGCTGACCATAGGCAGCACTATCTGGGCACCTACCCAGTCAGCCTGACCAGGTAGCCCAAGACCAATCCATCTCCAATGACTCACGAAATCGAGTCAATGTCATCGTGTGAGATTGCTGACAGTTCTACCCACGTTGGCCTACAAAAAATGGAAATTTCATATGGTTCAACCTAACATGATCTAGGCTGGTAACCCCTACGGTGTCCCTACATCAACAGTAAGTAGTTAACAAAGGTATAGATCATAACAATTAAACATCCTA